TGATCACTTTCTTTCTGTACATGATATTAATAACAATACTGTGATCAGAAATCAAATTTTAAGTCAAACTCAAATAATTAATCAGTCACTTGAAAGATCACCATATATAACTGTACATAACAAAGATTAATCTGTTAAACTGAGACAGAAAACAGAATATTCTGTTCAAACATTCGACTCAATCTAAGCAAGAACCCACACGACTGAAGATGGCAATTGTTTATATAATTATCTTTCGATACTTAATATTGGTTCTGAAAGACTAGCACAGTCAATGCAATGATTAATAATAGTGATCATTTTAAAAGAATTTGCAAAGCATTGAACTATTCATTTGAAGAACAGATGAAAAGAACTGCCACGGATGTAAAATGGGGTGGAGAAGTTCAAATTCAAGCCCTTTCTGTAGCCTTATGTCAGCCTATTTATTCATATGTCAAATTCGAGAGCAATTCAAAAAATGGACACTATATTCCATCCGATATCAGTCTACAAAAATTGATCGATCGATTCGATAAAGGAACCGCAGGTGGTCATCTTAAATATATTGGATACAAATCAGATATGAACAAATTGAGTTTATGTATTTATTTCACCGGAAATCATTATGATGCTCTCTTACGTTTTCTAAATAATCCTCAAGAATTTATACTTAAACATGATATAATTAACATGAGTTTATAAAATGAAGGAAGGTTCCATAAACTCATCAAAATAATTAATTAAAATAAACAAGTTTTCATTTATGTAAATAAATAAAGACTCCAAAGCTAACTCCTTGCCGCATTCCACGGGACAGAAAGAGGGCATCGACAGTGCATAAGGGGCAGTTCCTTGCTAGAGGTCAATAAATGAAAATAAATTTGTTTGGGATAATTGAATAAGAAAAAGAGAAAAAAGTGTTAACCTGAGTGAAATAGTCTTATTCTATTGTGGTAAAAATGCAGTTGTAAGTAAGCAAACAGGAAGTTCTCTTAAATATTGTTTAAGTGTACTTGCAGGAACATGTGGATCATAATTAAGTTCATTTAATGTTATTCCTCCATCAATTGTTTGTAAATTAAGTTCAGCAATAATTTTTTTTGTTTTCCTTGTGATGGTGCAATACGAAAAAGACCTTCTTCATTTAAACTATTTTCTAATAGACGAATACATATTTCAATTGGATAAGCAATTAATGTATCTTTTCTTTTTGAACACTGTTTTATAAGATCATAACCAAATAATAGAATTAAGTCATCATTTTCTAATCTTTGTTCAATTTCAGGCATTTTTGATGATAAATATCGAGATATATTATTATAAACTTGATTTTCTTCATATAAATATTGATAAAGAAGTTTAATTGTAATTGAATATTCTTCACTAGCTATTTTATATGTTTCAGTTGCATGTATATCACGTGATAATGTTCGAGATTGTTCACATTCACAACGAATATCTTCTAATTCACGTAAATGTTCATCAAAATTTGCTAATGTTAAACGATCAGATCGTGTTTGAAATCTTAACAAAACAATGAGAACATTTTTTATTTTAAATTATAAAAACAAAAACTTTTTTAAATTGGCATCAGCTGTTTCTAATTTTTGTTGAGCTTTTTCATAATTATCTCTTAGTTTAGTCATTGTTTGACAAATAGTTGACTTATGTTAAAAATAAATCAATAAATAAATACTTGTTTATCTCTAGCTTGTTCAATAATTTTTTAAAATTGTTCAAGCCATTCTTTTCTTTTTGGAATCAATAAAATCATGTATTTGAATTTAATCATCAATTGTTTGATTTAAAATCGATAAAGCATCATTTGTTCTATATGGAGAACGATGACAATGTGCAACATCACTCCAACGAAATTCTTTCAATGATTTTGATACATCCTTATCAATACTTTTATTTAACTTACAAAATCTTTATTTATTTTCCAAAGATCAGACAATACTTTACAAGAATCTGGAATATAACGAACTCGATTGTATTAATCAGGTACATCATCACTTCTATATTAATAAATATAAAAAAAACAAAATATTTTCATTTTTTATTTTCGAATTTCTTTATTTAACCATATCGATAAATATCCTATTCAAATAAATTTATTTTCAAAACATTTTTATAAGGATCGATTAAATTTATTTCCCTAGAAATTTTTAATCGATAATTCGAACTATCTTATCATTATTTCGTCTTATAGAACGTTTCTATCTAGCAGTTAAAAACAGATTTTCGACAAAAGAAGTTCAAATCGGATGAAATATTAATCATTTGTTAGCGATCGTTCAGTAGAGAGAAACAAATTGTTTCATAACTGTTCAGGTCAATATAATGTTTCTTGGATAGATTATTAAAATAATAAATAATTTTCGTTGTCAATCTTTATATATAATAAGATAATCAATATAGATTCATCTAGAAATCGATTTATATAATAAATAACGAATTTTTGACCAAATGCAAGTAGATAGTTAACATTTAAATTAGCTTTGAAAAAATAACAATAAAGATTTAACATGAAAGTTTGGTTTTTTTAATTCTACGAATATGAAAACTATTCTTTAAATCTATTTAAATAATATAAAGCGTTTCTTAGATTTAAAAAATTCTTTTTAACAATTTGAATACTCTTCAAAACAATAATATATAATTATTACCTTAACTCGACAATAATAACATAAAATAATTTCATTATAAAACTATAGAAAAATTTTTAACAAAAAAAAAACACTAGCAAAGGGTTAACTCAATTAAATTAAAATAAAT